AAGATACAAAAGAGCAGGAAGAAACTGAAAGACAAGAGATTAGCATCATACATACATAAGATCAGGGGGGAAAAAAAGAGCAAGAAAGATGAGAGCGCATTTAGAAGTATTTCCCCACACAGCCCTGGTGATAATCAGATTGGAATCAACAACAAACACAGCATGAGAATATTAAGAGATTTAAAAAGGCAACAGTGGTATGGAGACTGGTTATCGCCAGTGTTGAGAAAGAGAAACCTGTTGTAGGCACCGGAGACTGGAGCACTGCCCCTCCCTCCCAGAGGATGACAGACCCGGGAAGAGGAAGCAGGCCCTGGGGCAGCTGCCATTGGTGTGTGTAGAGATGGTCTCCTCAGGTCAATCTCAGCATATTATCCCCATCTTCCCCCCAGAGTCTTTGTACCCTAGACTCCAGGTGAGGGTACAGGATGTCATTGGGAGGAAAAGGTGAAGGCCTGCCCTAGTCCACACCGTTCAAGAGCAGTTGCTGGGAGAGTGGAGGGCAGCGTAGATAAAGCCCATTCCCCTGTGGAGAAGGCACAGTGTAATTCCTGAAGGTGAGACAGAGGAAAACACACACCCCAGGAGAGGTATCAACAGAGTCCTCACCACCTGCAGTCGCAGCTTAACCCCATTTGTTATGTTTTTTGATACTGAAGGGAGTTGAGGGACAGATCACCACACCTCTTCTCACTTAGCAGGGACAAAGAAGACTGGGGATGTCTGACAATAAGGAAAGAGGAAAATAGGACAATGTACTCATTTCTCTCAAATGAACATGGTAGAGGAAATCTTTCTGGGTTTGGGGACGTCAAACTGGAGAAGACATAAGGGAGGGATGAAGCCAGGGACCCCCTTTTTTTCCCCTTGCCTAGCCTTCAATCTAAGGCAAGTGAGCCAAACTGGAAAGGGAGTAGGAATTTAAGCTTAAGGCTGTTCAATGTCCTCCCGGGGGCTGGTGTTTAGGGAAGGCAGACAAAGAAAAGAAACAGGTCAACCTCAAAGCTGGTCTGCTCATCCTCCTAGAAAAGGTCTGTACCCCAGGAGGAGAGCCAAGAGAGGCACCAGAGAGAACACATGCTCCCAAACAAAAGTAATAACCTGCCCACATTTTATCAGCAGTTTTCAAAAGCAATGTTTTCCGAGGTTGGAGAAATGCCATATCCTCCTCCCTTTCCCCAAAACTACTGCTGCCACCTTTTATCCTTGCATATTAAGTTACTGGCTCTCTTCTAAGGGAGATGAAACTCGGAGATTTCACATTTCTCTTCCCAACCCTAAGAGGCTACCCAGCTTTGAATAGGGGGAAGGAGAGCTATGCTAAGGGCCCCTCACTTGAGGCAGCTAGACCATCCTCATTTCCTTGGTACTGGGATCTCCAAAACTTGTTTGGTCTGATCCCAAGGTCCAAAAGGCATCAGGGTACTTACAATTGAATGAAACTCTAAGCGAGTAGCACCAGGGCTCCCCCGAAGTGTAACAGGGGCCTGATTAATACCCCCAGAAGAACCCCTCAAAAAGTATATAAATTTATTGCGTCCTAGCAAAGATCTGCAGCTTCCAGTATTCACACAGTGTGAAGATATTAACAATACAAAATATATTCTGAAAGTCAAACATCTGCAGTTCATAGTGCTTTCTCAGATTTGTTAAAAAAATACAATGCTTAGTTTCCTATATAGGATATACAAAAGCAAAAAATATATATATATATATATGTGTATATAGTAGAAATAAATCAATCAGCCATAGTAATTTACAGCTTTTGTCTCTAACCCTCCCCCAATCATAATCTTTACCCCACACTTCAGTCTATATTTTCTGGGATCAAGGGTTCTGTGTTCTATTTATTCTGAATCAGGCTGAGAAATATCCATTAAATTGCATTCTGCATAGCACCCACAAACAGGGTGCTAGCTGGGAGGTCCCTGAAGGAAGATGGTGTGGGTTGTTACTGCTATGGGTTAAAAGTGAGACAATCAAATGACACACAGATGAATGTGTATGGGCAACCTGAAAGGACAAGGGAATGAGTGCTTTAATATTACCAGTCCTCTGGGCATCTCCTGCCTCACAGGCTTGGTCATTTAACATTTTTAAATAAAAAAGCAACTCATGAAAGGTATTTGAGAATATACCTGTCAGTTACATTGATTTCTGTTGGCCAAAAAGTTCAGGGAAAGGATTTTCAGCAGTAAGCTCCCGTCTTAAGGAATGTAGGCTCCTCACTCCCTGTGGAAAAGACTGAGCAGCTCCCTGCTACTGGGAGACAAGAGCAGAAGCTGCTTCAGTTTGGGGGCCAAACAAGATACTGGATCTGGAGCCTCCAAAAGGGTATGTGGAAAGAACTATGAATTCACTTACAAGGTTAATGAAGGGGACTGAAGGTAAACCAGCATTCCATCCCAGAGAAAATCATCACCAAATAACCTTCTAAACGCTTATAAGTCCTCAGCATCATTAAGCTAGTTTATAGCAAATAATTTCATACTGGGGAAGATTCCATTCTTTGAAATGCTCTAGCAAAATACTGCACGCTCCAGTGAGTTATACTGCCCTTTTCCTCCAAAAGATGCCTATATACATGATTACAGATATAAAATAATAGGTTGAGTTCTGCCTTTCAGTGGGAATAAAGGGTGTGTGATAAGTGGCGGGGCATGGATGACTTTTACTTCAGTATTAACAGAATTTGATCTGGGGAAAGTTTCTCGCAATAGTTCCTGAGTGTATTAAGTCTGGAGAGGAAGGACCAAATGGAGTGAACTACTGTTCAGGATATTAACAGTTATTGTATTTCAGGTTAAACAACGACACAAGCTTACCCAGATACTAATTTGGATAGATTTTATATAAAATATATAGAATCATAGCATCATCTATTTGTAGTCAAGGTAAAAAGATTTATGAAAGAAACTAGGACTCTGCTATAGATCTGGATGTTGGTTTCCTTTCAAACACAAAAATAGTTTCTTTTTAAAAAGTGCAGTAGAATATCCCCCATTCATAATTGTAGCTAATTTAGCATAAGCAAAGAAATGACCTCAGGAACATACCCAGGTTTTAAGACAGATTTCTAGGTAATGGGCCTGAAAGGCATTTTGAGCTGAATTTGATTTATTTTCCAACAATTTCAAATATAATTTCTCATCTGTGTGTAGATATATACAGGCACAAAACACACTCACACACAGTCATACACAAACACTTCATTTTCTATCAGATCAGGGCAATTTTTTATTGCAGGTCTCTTTTAGTATAGGCTAACAGAAAACCTATCCCCAATCTAACAGATTACACACATACACACAGCCATTTTCACACTTCCTCACAGTGAAAAGCTCTCTGACAGATACCAGAAGGTCAAGAGAGACAATGTTTTAATGGCTGGGCCTTGAGGACAACTCTGGTTGCATTTAAGTCTCAGTGCCAAATGCACTAAGAGTTCCCTGCCGCTATAATTTTTGGATCAGTCTCTTCAAGAATCAGGCCATGGAGAAAGCAGGATGGTGTCTCCCAATCTCTCCTATAAACCACAGTGGTAAGACAAGATTTCTTTTTGTTCTGGGCTGTTGTTCCCATGATCGTGTGCTTCCTTTTCCCTTAGGAACCACCCAAGGAAGAATTAAGAGAAAAGATCAAAGAACCACTGCCTTGCCACGGGTACAGACTCTGGAGCTCTGCAGAATGGAAACCTGGAACAGATTTATTGGCTGATGCTCCTTAATAACATGAGAAAGAAACTACCAGGGATGTTCAAAAGAGGAAGTGCATTTCCTTTCAGAATGTGACCTCAGAAACCCATACCAAAGCTTAGACCTACTTTGGAAGACAGCTGTACAAAAGTCCAAATACTCCACTAATTCCTGAACTGGACTACTCTGAGTCACTTCCACTTTTGAGCACATCATTTTCCTATTGAAAGCCCCTACATATTATTTGACCACTTTTGACAGTTTATACAAATTGATCCCAGATTATAACCTTTAAAGGGTCTCTTGTACAATTCCACAGAAAGACTTCTGACTCTTGATGCTTACAGCAGCTGATGAGAAGAGGTGCCTTTGACTCTCCAGCGCCAAGAGGGTGCCTGCGTCAGTAGTAGTTTTGAACACTCTCTCCACAGCTACCTCAAGCATCAGCCTGGGCTTCAAGGCTCTCCATTCTGCTGCTGGGACCAAGAACCTTAAAAGGTTGACAGAAGTGCCTCATCCAGGGATCATTACCAAAATATGAAGCAATCAGGTGAGAGAAAGGGAGACAGAAAGGTTGAGTCAAGAAAGGAGTGCAAGAAGCTGATCCCAAATAAAAAGACAAAATTAAGAAAGGAAAAACATTATGTATGTGTATATAAACTAAAAGCAGAGCATATGAATGCTTAATCTGGTGGGAAGCCAAGACAACATCTCTAGAAAAGCTTGATGTGTCACAACAAGGCTCAGCCATAGGGAAATAAGGCAATATAAAAAATGACCAAGGTATTTTGGTCACAGAATGGTCTCCTTCCTCCTCCCAGCCAACCCCTGCAAATGCATCTCTATATATCTTTTATATATATATATATATATGTATATATATATAATATAGAATCTGGTTTTTTTTTTTTGTTAAAAAGTATTTCAATGATCATATATATTTATCAAGGCATGATGGCTTTAGGAAAGGGGGGGATCCATCATGGGGGAGCTGAGAAGGGAAAGGCAGGAAGGGGAGGCTGGGGTAAGAAGTATAAGAAACTGTTTGGGGTCAAACAAATGCCCATCAAAGGGTGGCACCAACAGAATTTTCACTAATGTTTCCCACTTCAAGGAGGTACTGATGATATAGGTGGGTGCCAGGACCCCATCTCTTCTCTTGTATCCCTCCCCCAAATTCTTCCCACCACCATGCATTTTAATGCCTCATGGCTCTCTCTCCCACATGTCTCTTGGACCCATGCTACCTTGCATCCCAGGGTTGATGGGTATGGCCCATATGTCTCTGGCCCTGGGTGCCTGATCTCAGAAGCCATTGCCACTGATATTAATGGACTGCAGATCCGCCACCTGCATGACGTTGATGCCACTGTTGGCAAGACGGGCAATACCCTCTGGACAGATGGCCTCCATGGCTACCATATTGGTGGTAATAAGGGCTGAAGGGGTGGCAGTGCCACTGCCTTCTGAACCTGCCCCACTGTCCAGGGGCAAAGTGCCCACACTCAGGGATACACCTGGGCCTCCTTTCTTATTCTGGTGGGTCTTGATATGCTTTGACAGGTGGTCACTCCTCATGAAGCGCTTGGGACACTCAGGGCAGGCAAATTTCTTCTCACCTTGGTAAAAGAAAAGAAGATAAGAAACAGACATCTTAGGAAATAGGATTACCTTGTCCAATTCATGGCTTTCAAACTATATTAGAATATTAGGCAATCTTAAGAAGGTGATAAAAACAATAAAAATCTGTTAAGTATCTTTTTGAGGAAGGGGAAGAAAAACAGGTAAAGGTCAAGCAGTACTCAGAAAGGAAGGAACATAGCAAAAAATAAGGCAGAAAATCCCACTGAAAACCTAACTTCTTCCTTCTTAAACGTTTTCCAGATTAACTCTAATTCCATTTATGATCCACACATTCACTTTCAAACTAAGCTGTTCAGAAATTTTAGTTATTTCATAGCTATATTTTGTGTCTTTCTATTCTGATCTATTACTATTTCTCTGGGCTCCTACTCACCTGTGTGTGTGCGTTTGTGTCTCTGTAGCTCATCTGAACGTGTAAAGCGCTTCCCACAGTATGACCAAGTACACATGAATGGCCTCTCGCCTGTATGCCAGCGCAAGTGTGCCCGTAGGTGTGAGGTCTTGCCATATACTTTCCCACAGCCTTGGATGTGGCAAATGTGCTGTTTCTTTTTGCCAGGATCCCCAGAGCCCCTGAAAATGAGAACACAACTATTCATCATGCATTCCAGAGAGAAAAATTAAAGAATCCCAGTGTCAACAGGTTATTACCTGACGCCCTCAAAAACTAACCCAAATTTTTATTTTAAAAAAAGGCTTCTTGGGGCGCCTGGGTTAAGTGCCCAGTCGGTTAAGTGTCTGATGATTCTTGGTTTCGACTCAGGTCATACTCTCATGGTTTTGTGAGTTCGAGTCCCAAGTCATGATTTCATGCTTTGTGGGATTTAGCCCTGTGCACTGTCAGGACAGAGCCTCCTTGGGATTCTCTCCCTCTCTCTGCCCCTCCCCTACTTATGCACGCTCTCTCAAAATAAAAAAAAACTTAAAAAGAAAAAAGGAAAAAAAAGGCTTCTCTTTAGTATCAAAGGAAAAACCTTTGGTTGATTCTGAGTCTTAATACTCAAAATTCAAGTTTTAAGTTTCCTTTCTACTGGATATTTACTCTTCCCTGTTTTTTATTCCTTAATCAGTTTTGATGTTTGATGTTTGTGGGTGACTTGGAAAGTCTGTAAGGCATTTTCCTGTATTTTTCAGGAAGTTTAAGTCTCAATACAAGCATTTTCCATGGGAACTACTGTGAACATGGTGATATTTTTGGCTGGGAACTTACGTAAGGAGCAAAGCACCTAGTGGAAAACTTTAAAGAAAATATAATAGTTTACAACTATAAACTTATCTCCTAAAATAAAGCTCAAGAGCCAAATGGTAAATATTAAAAGCTGGAAAGCTAGAGCACTATCAGGGACTTCAGTGGGAGAGAAAGATGGGCTGTATAAAAGTTAAAACAGGGAAAAAAAATCCTAACTAATTCAAGGTATATTTTAAAAAATGCATAACATATATACATATATATATACACATACACATATATATACATGTATGCATATATATATGTATATACATACACACATACATACATATACACACACCCACACACCCAATATGAAGCAGTTCCTAAGCTTCTCTCAGCAATCAGTTCTGAAATGTTTTTGCCAAACCAATTTGTTCCATGTGTGATCCATTAGTGGGCATTGGGGAGATTTCCAGGAGGGACTTTTCTTGGGTTTTAACAGCACATATTAGCAGAGGGGAAAAAACCATAACGGAAATGAAATCACATGTAGGTAGAAATCAGAGAACTTACTTCAAAAATTTAAATCCACTTTAAGCTTTGTTAGAAGGAAACTACTGTACTCAGTGCTTATTTTTTTCTTCTAAAGATTTTATTATTTTTAAGAAATCTCTACACCCAATGTGGGGCTTGAACTTAGAATCCCAAGATCAAGAGTCACACACTGCACTGACTGAGCCATCCAGGCACCCTCAGTGTGCTTTTGATGCAGGTTTTTCCTGTGACATATGGTTAACCTACAAAGAACTCAAATTATTTTTGGTTTTGGTGCTTTTCTCATTTTTGTATTTATTTATTATTTTAAATGTTTGAGAGAGAAAGAGAGAGCGCGCGAGCTTGCACCACACAGGGGAGGAGCAGGGCGGGGGATGGAGGATCTGAAGCAGGCTCCGTGCTGATAGCAGACAGCCCCATGAGGGGCTCGAATCCACAACCCATGAGATCACGACCTGAGCCAAAGTTGGACACCTAACCGACTGAGCCACTCAAGATGCCCATTTTTGTATTTATTTTTGAGACCTAAGCTTAACAGATTTTTAAGGTGTTAAGATTTTTTAAGGCATTAAAAAATCTATACGACTTTCTATTTTCTTTCAAAAGCAATGAATTGTAGAAAAAGAATAGAACTTGGTACTCTCCAGAAATAATACTGAATAAAATAGAATATTCTACTAATGAGAAAAATTTGTCAGAACTTTGCTCTGCAGGACATATTAGGTTCCATGATGGAAGAATTTTCTTTTCTTTTTAAAAAAAAATTTTTTTTTAATGTTTTTATTTATTCTTGAGAGAGAGAGACAGAGTGTGAGCGTGGAGGGGCAGAGAGAGGGAGACAGTGAATCTGAAGCAGGCACCAGGCTCTGAGCTGTCAGCACAGAACCTGATGCAGGACTCGAACTCACAAACTGTGAGATCATGACCTGAGCCGAGGTCAGAAGCTTAACCAACTGAACCATCCAGGAGCCCCTGGAAGAATTTTCTAACTGGAGTAGTATTTTTTGTCTGTTTTGAAGGAAAAGAAGACTCAGAAAACCCTTATGACTCTCACATAGCCACTATAAAAAAATCATTACAGTAGGTATGTTTCTTTTTCTTTGCAAGACTATTTTACAAGCAACTTTGTTAAAACCATCTCAAAACAGACATATGGTAACAATCATCAGACCAGTTGGCTGCATCTGATTACCTTATCTCTGGAGAAAGCAGGCACCTATTAAGGCCCCAGGTCTTAGAGTAGATGAAAGGCTCAGAGCTGGAACTAAAATCCTATAATATAACCCAATCAAATGTATTGTACTCTCTCTCTCTGGTCCCTCTGCAACACTGCCAAGTCTTAAATGTTAAAAAATTAACCCTCCTCTGCTTACCTCCAAATCCATTCATTTTTCTCCTTTATACCCTTAAGACACTGGCTGGGTCAACTTACCTTCCTTCACTATCTTTACAATAGGGGCAGGTGCAGGCTTCACGCCGGGTCCTCCGACCAGCCTGGGGTTGGGGATCTGGGCTGTTTTCTCCTTCTTCTCCACCTGCTGTGTCATCATGTATTCCATCACCACCAGCTCCGTGGAGGCCAAGCTGAGCTCCATGATCACCTGAAATTAAGAGAGCAAAAGGGTTAAGGTGAAGTAAGGGAGGTCATCAAGTTGCAGTTATTTCAGTGACACTTTACATTTACAGCACCATTTCTTCAAAGCTTTGAAGCCACATTTACTAATATTGCCATCCATTCTTGAAATCTCAAAAACCATCATTGAAAATACAAAGAGCTAGCAAATATATAAAAACATGATCAATGTCATTTAATTTTTTAAAAATATTTTAAGTAATCTCTATACCCAATGTGGGGCTCGAACTTACAACTCTGAGATAAAGAGCTGCATGCTCTAGGGGTGCCTGGGTGGCTCAGTTGGTTAAATGTCCAACTTTGGCTCAGGTCATGATCTCACAGTTCGCGGGTTCAATCCCCGCATCAGGCTCTGTGCTGAACACTTGCTTAGAGCCTGGAGTCTGCTTCAGATTCTGTGTCTCCTTCTCTCTTTGCCCCTCCTCTGCTCACACTCTGTCTCACTCTGTCTCTCAAAAATAAATAAGTGTAAAGAAAAAAAAAAAAGAAAAAAGAGTTGCATGCTCCATCAACTGAGCCAGCCAGGTACCCCATTCTCATTTAATTTTTAAAATGCAATTCTATGTATAGTGGACTTTTGTAATTTTTCACCTATCAGATCACAAAAAGTTAAAACTCTAATAATGCACAGAATTAGCAAGGATATGGGGAAACAGGCATTTTTATACATAGGTGATGATAAATCAGTACATTTTGAAGGCCAATTTGGCAATTTTTGTTAATATTTATTTTGAGAGAGAGTGCGAGTGGGGGACAGGAGCAGACGGAGAGAAAGAATCTTTCAGGGATTCTGAGCCAAAATCAAGAGTGGGTGACTCAACCGACTGAGCCACTCAGGCACCCTCGAGCATGTGACTCTTGATCTCAAGGTGATTATTTCAAGCCCCATGTTGGGCACTGAGTTTATTTTAAAAAATAAAATGACGTTAAAAAAAATTTTAAATATACATCTTCAAAGTAATTCCACTTTGAATCAACAATGTCCTATGGATATACTCCTGAGTATACAAAAATATGTGATGATTTTTTTTTTAATTTTTTTTTCAACGTTTTTATTTATTTTTGGGACAGAGAGAGACAGAGCATGAACGGGGGAGGGGCAGAGAGAGAGGGAGACACAGAATCGGAAACAGGCTCCAGGCTCCGAGCCATCAGCCCAGAGCCTGACGTGGGGCTCGAACTCACGGACCACGAGATCGTGACCTGGCTGAAGCCGGACGCTTAACCGACTGCGCCACCCAGGCGCCCCTGTGATGATTTTTTTAAGAAAGTTTATTTGAGAGCAAGACAGAGAGAGAGAGAGCGCGCACGCGCACTTGAGAATGAATCCCAAACAGCCTCCACGCTGTCAGCACAGAGCCTGACATGGGGCTCAAACTCACGAACTGAAAGATGACCTGAACTGAAATCGAGTCAGACACCTAACTGAGCCACTCAGGCGCAGCGACGATAATGTTTTCTATAGCTTTGTAACAACAAAAAACTAGAAACATGAGGTCATGATCTCATGGTTCAAGTCCCATGTGGGGCTCTGCACTGGCAGTGTAGAGCTTGCTTGGGATTCTCAGTCTCTCTCTCTCTGCTCCCCTGCTTGCATGTGTGTCTGCGAATGTGTGCTCTCTCTCTCTCTCTCTCTCTCTGTCTCTAAGTAAATAAACATTTAAAAAAAAGAAACAACATTACAAATCTCAGTGCTTGGTTTTACTTCTGCACCTAACCTCCACTCTTTTCAGCTCATCAACATAATTTTGTTACAATGCCTAATAATAAGCTCTCCTGGTGCTTTCCTTCTCATTGCACCGCTTCTAAGCATCAACCTATGGCATTAAAATAAACTGTAGTGTTCTGAGATGTTCATGATTTTGGCAGAGCTTAACAGGAAGGACTGGAGTACAAGGTTAAGAACAGGTTTTGGAGTAGGACAGATGTAGATATGTGACCGTTCTTTAGTTATCAGTTTCTCCCTCAGTAAAACTGGGATGAAACATTATCAATCTCATAAAGTTGTGAAAAATAATACATGTAAGGTGTTTAGCACAGTATCTGTCACATAACAAACATTTAACACACTGTAGCTAATATTATTAGGAAAATATCTTGTGGGAAAACAACTGTGAGAAATCATGGAATAAGATATGTACCACTATTTTATTTAATCAATTTGCCTTAAAAACTATATATGAAACTGAGAAACTCCCTGTGATGGGGACGGATAATTTCTCCTCTTGAAATAAGCCCAAAAAGCTCAGCAGGTAAGACAGAATGCTAGTTAATATCACCAGTAGTTACCTACCAAAAATTACCTTCAGAAGAGATATTTATGAACCTGTAAATTCAGCTATCTACAATGGGTCTTTAGAAACAAAATAAGCAAAACCATGATCCATACAAGCAAGTCATCTTTGATCTACTTTCCAAATTAATCTAACTCCATTAAAATCAGAGAAGCAATTCATTAAATCCCAAAGTTCTCCACTGTCACAATCAAGTAGAAAGAAGCAAACTTTTCTCCATTTTACTGAGACATAAGCCTAACATCCAGGACATGGCATGATTCAGTAAAAAGGGAAACAAAGAAATACTTAGATACTAGGACTCTGTAAAACCGTATCTCTAAGCCTCTATCAAATTCTTACAAAATGGACAGTCAAGGAGCGCCTGGGTGGCTCAGTCGGTTAAGCGTCCGGCTTAGGCTCAGGTCGTGATCTCGCGGTGAGTTCGAGCCCAGCGTCAGGCTCTGTGCTGACAGCTCAGAGCCTGGAGCCTGCTTCGGATTCTGTCTCCCTCTCTCTCTGCCCCTCCCCCGCTCATGCTCTGTCTCTCAAAAATAAATAAACATTTAAAAAAAATTTTAAAAACAAAATGGACAAAGCTAATATCCTCCTTGACCCCTGCTATGACTGCAAAGGATTTTTTTTAATATGAAACTGGAAATGGGGTTAAATGTGTTTCATTTAACTTTAAAAAGGGATGAAATACTAACAAAGCATCAGCATCAGACCAGAGTCTGTTTCCAGCCTCTTTTAATAACAGTTTTAGAAAAAGAACAGTTTTATCTTAGAATGTGGCATCAGTTAAGCAATGAAATAAATTAAAGATTTTCCTTTCCATGATGAAAATAACAAGTAAACCAAAGGCACAGTTTAATGACAGTCTTGCCCAACCCAGGGTTGCCTCTAGCATCAGTTATTGTAATAGCTGTGGCAGTTAACACACTTTTTCAGTTTCTTCAAAGGGAAGAAGGGTGCTGAAGTCATGAACTTTTAAGAAGACCACCATGACAAGTCAAATAACTTATTCTTCTCTGATAAAAGACCCGGGCAATACTAAAATAAGAAACTCCTCAATAATTGTCAAAAGGGTAGTTCCCACACCCTTCTCTATTCACCTGGTCTCTGGAATTATTTGGAGAACACGGTCTTCTTTAATTCAGTAAGTATTAACACAGTATGACTGATTTTCAAAACTATACCTATATTAAGCATACAATGAGTTTTCTGAACGTTTCATTTTACACAATAGATTTAATCTAAAGAATCAAATCTCAGTCCAGGAAGTGTTTGTGTGTTCAGCCACATTCAAGCACAATATAGGTAACACATCATCTAAGCGGTAGGAACATCCAGAATATAGCTCTAAATCAAGAAATAAAAGCATCTTTAGTAACAGAAATAGTAATTCATAATACATTGTACTTTATTTTTCTTTTTTTTTTTTTTAATTTTTTTTTCAACGTTTATTTATTTTTTGGGGGACAGAGAGAGCAGAGCATGAGCGGGGAGGGCAGAGAGAGAGGGGAGACACAGAATCTGACAGGCTCAGGCTCTGAGCCATCAGCCCAGAAACCTGGCCAGCGGGGGCTGGAACCACGGAGAACCCAGCAGACCTGGCTGAAGTCGGACGCTTAACCGACTGCGCCACCCAGGTGCCCCTATTTTTCAAAATAATAATTTTATTAATCTGGTTTCCCAGTCCAAGCAAATCAGAAAAAGGAAGAGAAGGACTGTACTTTTTAATGACACAAAAGCTGGCAATTGGGAGTGATAAAATGTAAAAATTTTACATTTTTACAAAACATTTACAAAAAAATTCATATAGATGGCCTCCAAATTCATCTCTACACTGACTACTTGGTTATGCTTGAGATACAATTTAACATAAGAGACAAAATTAATGCTTGATTCTGTCAATTACTAGTTTGCATAACAATTAGCAGATTTCCTAGAATCCTTGCAAAGTGACAAGATGACTTTTTTCCTTTTTTTTTTTTTTTAATTTTTTTTAACGTTTATTTATTTTGAGACAGAGAGAGACAGAGCATGAACAGGGGAGGGGCATAGAGAGAGGGAGACACAGAATCGGAAACAGGCTCCGGGCTCCGAGCTGTCAGCACAGAGCCCGACGCGGGGCTCGAACTCACGGACCGTGAGATCATGACCTGAGCCGAAGTCGGACACTTAACTGACTGAGCCACCCAGACGCCCCTTCCTTTTCTTAAAAATTCAAGTTTATTGGGGTGCCTGGCTGGCTCAGTCAAAAGAGCACGTTACTCTTGAGCTCAGGGTCATGAGTTCGAACCTCACGTTGGGGGAGAGATTACTTAATAAACTTTAAAATAAATCAAGTTTACAACTCTGAGCACAAGATCCTGAGATCAAGAGTCAGATGCTCTACTGACTGAGCCAGCCAGGCACCCCTAATGTGAATTTATACTTTCTCTCATAACTTCTACCTTAAATTCTTTTAACTCATGTTTTAAAATGTTTATTGAGAGGGGCGCCTGGGTGGCGCAGTCAGTTAAGCGCCCGACTTCAGCCAGGTCACGATCTCGCGGTCCGTGAGTTCGAGCCCCGCGTCGGGCTCTGGGCTGATGGCTCAGAGCCTGGAGCCTGTTTCCGATTCTGTGTCTCCCTCTCTCTCTGCCCCTCCCCCGTTCATGCTCTGTCTCTCTCTGTCCCAAAAATAAAT